TCAAAAATAATTAGCAATTTTCTAGGTGTAAACTTTTTTTTGACTCTCACGGTATTATGTTTGCTCGGTCGTGTCGGAGATAAGAATCAAGAAATAATGGTCTAATTAAAATCCTAACATGCTGACGACAGTACCGTGCAAGTTTGTAATTGTCTATTCAAAGTACAAAGTACAAAAGGGTGCAAGAAGTAAAGGACCGAACCTATTTCACCAAACACTTAAAAGGGATAATCAGAAGAAAAAAGAACACCTACTAAGTAGCGCCCGTCATCTCTAATAATAGCTCACATTAAGTTAGCGATTACATAGAAAAAAATTAAATAAATAAAGAGTAAGAGGTTTACATCAATAAATCTTTATGTACATTTATATTCATTATCACTGACATTGAAGGGGAGGGGACACAGACTAGGGGGGGGGGGGCACACAAAATCGCAGAGTAAGGGTTGAGTTCTTGACTCCAAAATTCCGTAAATGTACTTTTTTTAGGCAAGTGGGGGGGGGGGGGCAGTCCACCTGGCTACGCTTATGTATATCATCTGTGTGTGCTGGCAGTAAAGAAAATAATGTCATCAATCTGTTTAAACTGACAGCGATTAAGAGTTTCCTAATGGCGACTGACATTTTTTAATGGGAGGGGGTCACATCTCGTAAACGACGATCCCGTGTATTTATGTATGCGATGGTATCATTCGAATACTTTGCGAATAATCTAGGTAAAGGATACTTCTGTTTATTTACATTTCTTATTGTCTCTTACACCGCCCCCTCCCCCCCCCCCCCGATTTCTAGCTTAATATCTGTTTTGATGAAGACTGTATATTCTACATCAAATGTTGCTAATCCTGCATCATTGTTGTGGGGGATCTTACATGCAATGGATGAACGGTACGAGTGTGTATTAAATTAAAATAATCAAAATGTCTAAAAAATAAAAATAATCAAACGTATAACAAACAGCAACAAAAACATACAACAGCACGGCGAATGACATAGCCACTCAACAACGTTTTCAAAGTCAGACCCTTTTTCCATTCTTACATCGTAATCACATTGTCTGTCCAATGATATATTTCTTTGGTGCAGAGCCATTTTGCTCCACTTTGATAAAACACCATGACTGCGTTCCAAGATTTACGTCATCAAATGACGTCGATGCTACGTAAATAGAAACATTCAATGAATAGGGCGGGAGATGGAGCAATATGACTATAATTATGGCTTTGATGTCCAGAAAAACAAAGATATCACGAAGAAACGTAGAGACATGGCACTATCGAAAAAGAATAAGACACTTGGTGACTTTTTACATCGTTTAATAAAAGGAACATTCTGAGTCCAAATAACGCTCTAAATAAAATTTGATCACAATGATACAATCAACATATCGCACTTGTTAGCACATTTCAAACTGGAAGATGACATTTGAATTCAAAGTCTTCAAAATAAATAATAATATAACTGCCATAACTCTAAAAAGGTATTTTGTTCTGAGAAAATCAAAACTTTGTCACACGAAATGAGATGGATGTGCTTTGTAATCCGACAGCTGACTAGGCAGGGAGGGTTGCATACTAAATACACGGGTACAATCTCTAAACTGAGTGAGAACGTTAACATTTGCTGGCAACAACCCCAATTCAACAATTAACTCTTCTAAGAAGAAGCAATATTCAGATATTCTCATATAAACCATGATAAAATATATACAAACATAACTACATGTACATACGAAACATATCAACCTCCTGATGTTAAAATACACTTTAAGTGTTTAAAACATATAAATATTCAAACTATAAAATAAATGCATACATGTACATACACCCAAAGAGCAGACTAAAACATGAAAAGGCAAGTATTCTTCTACAGTCTATACATGTAAATTTAAGCTTCCGTAAATATAACGGACTAAACATACAATGATTGTATACTGTACAATAATAATAATAATAATAATGGGTTCTTGTATAGCGCTATTAATGACTACAATACAGATCCAAGTTATGTCAGATATAATTTCGATGTAATATTGTGAATAAAGTAATTATATAAATCATACAATTCATTATAATAAACATTAACATGTACCTGTCAAATAAATCAATGGCAAAATATTAAATCAGCTGTATTGTGTCACATACACCATAATGTGAGGTACATTTGTTTACTATTTCTACATCACTATGCAGTGTACGCACATACAATAATTGTATTTCTTCTTCACTTCAAGTGGCAGTAGATTAATGATGTGAATAATAGAAATAATGGTTTTAAAAAAAATTGATGAAAAGATCGTGCAGAAAGGAATGTCAAACATATTTGTGAATGAATGTGCCCTCTCCTCAAAAGCAGGGGGTATAATTGGATTATATATAACTATCACTGGACATACTAGTGCTAAATATATAGCAAAAATAGCAAATAATTGTTAATAAATAAATAATTGGGTCATGCTTACCTAGTGTAGCCACATCAGTATTAATACTCTCTTAATTTCTAGGACTTATTTTAAAGTCCAAAGAATTTATTCTAAAGCCAAGGGGGACTTGAACAAGTCCTAGAAATTAAGAGAGTACTGTTCTTCGTGTGGGACCTACAATCATATAATTACTCTAGCAATATACAGGCACCCTTTTACTCCTGCGATGGAGAGAGTGGCACGTGTGGATTAAGGTCTTGCCAAAGGACAGTAGTGACAGGCTGGAAATTGAACCCTCAACCTTTGGATTGACAGTCAAGTGCATGAACCACTATACCTCAACACCTCCAAATACAAAATTTAAGGGGAAAATAAAGGCCGGAATAATTTGATAATAGTACTGTACTTCAATGATAAATATGAACATACATGTAGGTTGTTACCAGACTTTTAAACAAACATGAATTGGATTCATACCGAAGTATGACATTGGACTATATACAAATTAGGTCACAAATGGTTGAAGGCAGAGGAATGAAGCCACTTAAAGTGCATTTCAGGAAGGGTATCTCTCACCAGAAGAACATGTATGCATTTTTCTGTCTTAGTAGTGATTAAGTTTCTATTTTCTCGTCCTAAAATTTTGGTTCGCGTTTTGAAAGGACAGTCATTATTTAAACATGACATAACAATCAATACATTATCAACATCTATTGAACTGCTTACATATCTTGAAAAAGGAATGCCGGTAAGCAATGTGAGAATAGAATGTTTGCATTTGCCCATGTAAACAAAGAAAGTGCTGAGATTACATAATTGAATCTACACCCCTTGCCCCTACAGCCTACCCCCCCCCCCCTAATAAAAAACCCAACAACAGCAATAGTTATCAAAATAAAATGAATCTGCTTAAATTTCAGAAAGACATCTCAATTCCTCCTCTACAGTGAACTAGAATCTGTGCCTGGTTGTGCATGTGATTGATAATTACACAAGTAAACTAAACGGAAACGATGAGAGATCATAATATGAATTGATATGAAATGAATTATTAATGTAAAGTACAATGAGATATAATAATTAGAAAACACCTGACCCAATTAAATGTCTTTAAATGATACATATTTCAGGATTCCAACAAATTTCCCACCGAGTTACATGTATTGCTCATTAGATAGAACACAAACATTTTGGTTACAATTTGAATTCAGTCTCCCAAGGAGGCACCATGGTTTATAGAGACAATGGGTTCACCTTCACCATCAATTAACATTCAATGATATTTAATCTACATGTTCACCCCTAACTAGAGATAGGGGTTCTGACCTGACCTTTGTGCTTGTATTTGTCAAGGTATACTCCCTACGGAGTGACAAGTTTGACATGAGTCCAATTATTGTCTCTTCAGAGCCAGGAGGGCGTTAACTCATATCCTTGAACACAGAGTTAACCCCCTTCAGAGCCAGGAGGGCATTAACTCATATCCTTGAACACAGAGTTAACCCCCTTCAGAGCCAGGAGGGCGTTAACTCATATCCTTGAACACAGAGTTAACCCCCTTCAGAGCCAGGAGGGTGTTAACTCATATCCTTGAACACAGAGTTAACCCCCTTCAGAGCCAGGAGGGCGTTAACTCATATCCTTGAACACAGAGTTAACCCCCTTCAGAGCCAGGAGGGCGTTAACTCATATCCTTGAACACAGAGTTAACCCCCTTCTGAGCCAGGAGGGCATTAACTCATATCCTTGAACACAGAGTTAACCCCCTTCAGAGCCAGGAGGGCGTTAACTCATATCCTTGAACACAGAGTTAACCCCCTTCAGAGCCAGGAGGGCGTTAACTCATATCCTTGAACACAGAGTTAACCCCCTTTAGAGCCAGGAGGGCGTTAACTCATATCCTTAAACACAGAGTTAACCCCCTTCAGAGCCAGGGGGCGTTAACTCATATCCTTGAACACAGAGTTAACCCCCTTCAGAGCCAGGAGGGCGTTAACTCATGTCCTTGAACACAGAGTTAACCCCCTTCAGAGCCAGGAGGGCATTAACTCATATCCTTGAACACAGAGTTAACCCCCTTCAGAGCCAGGAGGGCGTTAACTCATATCCTTGAACACAGAGTTAACCCCCTTCAGAGCCAGGAGGGCGTTAACTCATATCCTTGAACACAGAGTTAACCCCCTTCAGAGCCAGGAGGGCGTTAACTCATATCCTTGAACACAGAGTTAACCCCCTTCAGAGCCAGGAGGGCGTTAACTCATATCCTTGAACACAGAGTTAAACCTCCTTCTGGCTCTGAACAAACGTTATGTAGGCTTCTAAGAGGATAATTACTGTTTGAAGCACATCATTGGGGCACCTTACATACTGCTCACAGCAATCATGAATGCCAATCTAATAAAAAATGTCGTAGTATATATAGGACATGTAGAAATACACTTTTGAAATTCATGTTGTCTGGGAATGAGAAGTGAAATGTTCAGTGATTAAACTGAAGGCTTATAACCAAATATTCATTTTGTTATGATTCACTACTATAGCAAGCAAACGTTACACATATAACATTTTCAAACTTTAGATTGAATTTCCATTCATGGCAATGCCTTGGAAAAAAATATTGCGACATATGAGGTAAATTAGACAATAACTATTTACATGAAAGGCAATGTTAAGTGATCTAAGCCTATAAGCTCCTAATTACATTCATTAACTCATTTATAGCATTGAGCATTCCTCTCAATGGAACACACATTCAAAACAATTATACTTTTCCATTCATTAAATTGTTGCTCATTAACACAATGGTGACATTTTCCATTGTCTAGTAGTACCATAATGACAGTTAATAAAGTAATACATAAATTTAAAGAATCTCTTGCCAGATTGCATATTCCCCCTGAACATAAGTATATTTTGAGTTATTAGTGTAATAGTAGTTAACATTTTGAGTTATAAGTGTAATCTAAGTAAAACATTTTGGGAGAAGAAGAAGTATTTAAATACAGAGAGGTGTTAAAATGTCCGAATTGAATAGCTGTATTACACATTTTAACGTTTCGATCAATCAGAGTACAAAATTTACAACTGATTGTCTTAAGTTCACATCATTATCAATATCTAGTACAAAATGATTTTTGATGGACAGCTTATAGAATCATTTATATTTGCCCAAGTAAAATGTACCATTTCTATAATTTTTACTAATTTTATTAATGGAAGAGTTTGATCATTTGTTCTGATATATTTTGAAGTGTATCCTCTTAAAAGCTACCTTCCCTCCCTTATTGCTCTGAGAGTTGATTTTCACAAAAATTTAATACATTTTTGATGCACATAATGATATGGAAGCTACTTTCTAACATTTATTTCCATAAAGAGTAATTTGATAATGTTCATTTTCAATGTAAAATAAGCCACTGTACATATTAAAAAAGTATACAATATACATGTATCTCTACCTTATGTAAAAATAAATGACTGAATATCTTATACATGTATACATAAGCTTTGTCCAGGCCGTATTATACTGATTTTCTGAATACAGACATATTACGTCACTACAAATCAATTAAGTAATATCAGAGTTGGGGACCAAGAGAGTTGACTACTTGCATGAGCTGTTCAATTCTTGTTGCCATGGTGATGTCACATTCCCACTGCTTGTTTTCTATGAGACTTAACACATAAAACTTTCCTTTTTCCAGGTGAACTAACAGGCTACCATCCAAAGCTATCCTGGCTAGCACAGCACGTATCTGTTTTGGTTTTAAAAGAATGCATACCGGTAATATATTATTTTCTTTCAAAAAATCTATTTGTTTCCTTCTTGGCTTCTTCATTTCTTTAAAGAACAAAATCCAATGATTCAATGTAATTGCTTTCTTTTAGCCTCATGTAACATTCTTTCATTTCCTGGTAACTTATTCTTATCTTTGACTATATCAAAAGAAAGGCATCTTCATGTTATTAAATAATCTAGTAAAGGGTCCCAGAAGTATTAATTGACCACAAATAGGAACCACGGTAATTAATGGATCATCCAAACAAAGGCTCATTGAAATATGTGTTATCCACACATGTACTTGTACAGGAGTGAGGTTACAAATAAGGTTTGTTTAATTTTGCAAGATGGGTGGGGGGGGGGGGGGGGTTAATATAATGTGTCCAAAGTGCATGGGCATAAATTTCATACCTCACCTTCAAATTTTTCCAGCATATTGTCAAAGTTTTCTGGGCGTCTGTGGTGATGACCTTGGACTGGCACCACCAGAGGTCTTGGGTGGAAAGAGCATGTGTGTGCGAATCCTTGTCTGTCCTCCACCTCCATTACTACCACTCCTCCGAGGCTCTCCACCTGACAAACAGTTCCCCATCTTACTGCAGAGTGGACAAGAAACATGATGTATTCTGTCATTGTTTGCTGCTCATAATAAGTTGCTGTTACCCTCTATCTAGATCCCCTCTCTTGCACTAGATTCTGGAAGATTCAATTAATTCACTTTGATGCAAATGTAGACAAATCAGTGCAAGAGAAACGAAACAATGAATGATATTCATACAAGGACTGCTTACTTCTCCTTTTATCACTACTTTAATTTTGCATTCACCCTTAGTATTCACTTAATGAAAGATCACTGAAAGTGACTCATTATGTACAAAAACACACTACACTATGCCTGTTTTACTTTATAGTGTTTGAATCGGCCTGGAACTGGGCCAAGGTCCCAATAATCAATTTAGAGTCTCTATGTCTATTCAAAATACAAGTCTATGATGGTGTTCATGTCTACTGATGGTGGAATAACGTGTTATATTTATAATGATGATTTCATCATCACTATCAGTAACTTCTTCTTCATCATACTGGGCATGTAATCTGAAGGTTCCCCAAAGCATCAGCAATACATTACGCAAACTACAACAGTGTACGTCTGATGTTAACTCATGGATGTTGGCTAATACACTGGAACTTAATCAGGACAAGACAGAATTCATGATTGCGGCGGGCTTTCTGGCAAGTACACTAATTGCGTTATGGAGACAATCGGTGGGGGCGTCAGCCCAAGCGCCTATCATCACTGGTGAAATCATCATTATTCATATATGTTTATCGTATGTGTGACAAGTGTATTCTCATGCATGATTTATAGGACTAGCCTTATTTTGTGATCGAACGATTTTATTCAACCAATCAAATATCATCTCCAAGTTCCATTCTTTTTTTTAGACGAATCCATGTTTATATGGTTAGATTTAGGAGATTGAATATGTACATTTATACATTTTATTTCTTTTGAATTTGTATTATTCTCAGCATTAAATAAAATATTTTATTTAAATTCTAATTATGTGTCGACAATTCCACGTGGAATTCCATGTTTTTCCTAACATCGGTAAGTTGAAAATATTGTGCTAGTTAGATGTCATCAATTGTCACTAGATCTAAACTGTTAAGTACCGATTTTGAGTGAACTCATTTGAGTTTTGTACAGTGGTTTTTGAAAGGTTGACAATTAATATTAAAGGTCGTCTGAACAGTTTTTTAAAACACAAAGAGGTATAAATCTACTAATGAGTAATGCCATAATGCTGCGTAGAGTTACACCGAAAGCTTCAGTCTCTGAATCAGTGAATGTCAAAGATTGTTTCGCTGAGATTACATCTGGCTCCTGTGACTGCTAATGCTATGTAGACTATGGGGTTTTACTATTGAAATGACCCATACCAGACGGTTATTTCTGTCTAAATACTGCTATGTGTGAGTTTGAATCTAGAGTTTGAGTTCCTTCACTTGACAATTTTTGCTTGTTGCTTGGATATCTCAACGATATCTCAATATCATGCCTTAATTATGGAGTGCAAAGTTGATTTATTCAGGTAAACCCCATCTATTTAGAGCAGGTCCTTGGCAACTGTAGTCACTATGAATATGACAGACAAAGAAAGCGGACAAAATATACAGTTCCTCAGGTAGACTAAGGAACATCCCTTCACTGCTATTAGTGTCACCTTTTTACATAATAGCAGTGAAGGGATGTTCCTTTGTCTAACTTAGGAACTGTATATTTTGTCCGCTTTCTTTGTCAGTCATATTTATAGTGAGTAACTGTTGTGAGGGCCTACTATAAGAACATTATAAATACATGTAGACCAAACTGTAGTCGAAAGACAATATACATAGGCCTGCGCCTGGAGGCTGTACTACTACTCTCTTACTAGTAGTACTAACTGTTAGACACTAGTTAGCGAATTAGCCCAACTCCCTACCAGTACCACACTACCAGTTCCATACAAAAATCATCATGCTTGGGACTTAGACTCACAGAGTGAAAGTATGACGCGACAGTCGAAAATGCAATGAATAGGTCACTACTTACGTTAAAAAAAAAGAATGTCCAGTCTCAAGAGCTGCAGCCTAATACTTTAGATCACATGCACAGTGACGAAAAGGCAAAAAAGGTAGTTACACTGTCGAAACCTGGCCGTACGTACACATACAGAATGGTTGCACAGCTCGTAGCTCAGTAGTACGGAGTGTACTACTAGTGAGTAAGTACGTCTGAGAGACGATGATGTTATGATACACCTGCACCGGGTGGCCGTGGTCATAATAAACACAGAATCTAGTGGTCGCGATCACGGTACGGTATCATCAGGATTCTGCGTACGTACGCTTACCCCTAGCCTCTTGTCGATGCCCTCGCGCTGTTGGAGTCTCTAAATTCTGACGAGCGAAGCGAGTCAGAGAAACCGAGGCGCTTGCGCGGAGGCCTCTTGACAAGTGATCTGAATTATATATTCATGAGACCCGATTTCCTACTGAATAATGCATGTCTAGACCGCAGCGATTGTGTTGTGTGTACGTGTGTGTTCGGGATTGCCCAACTAGGCTAGTCTGCAAGCACAGACCCTAATTTGACACTTTATCAAAATCATTGTGTCTTGAGAGAAGCCTAGCCCAGCTATGTACTGGTACCTACTGGTTGTACCAATATAGTCAGGAGCAGCTATAGTACGTGGCATATGGTAGTCTTATAGTGCACACTCTCTTTACGACTGACCAGGGTTTGTGCTTGCAGACTACAACTAGGCGGCCAGACTCGCTCTCACGGAGGAATTCGCACAGAGCGGTAGATATTACGTCATAGTAGCTCTCTCTGATTGGATGACTTTCACCGAACTCTGCTGGGTCGGAATATTCGCCAAACAACGTAAAACATAAGAAATTCAGATCACTTGTCAAGAGGCCCTCCGCGCAAGCGCCTCGGTTTATCGGACTCGCTTCGCTCGTCAGAATTTAGAGACTCCAACAGCGCGAGGGCATCGACAAGAGGCTAGCTTACCCCTTGAAAGGAGGAATTCTTCGACAAAATCCGGGAGTTATTGTCTCTCTAAAAAGTCAAATAAAAAAACAAAACATTGCACTTCTAGGTTGATGGTAGTAGAGTCTTGAGAGTAAGAGATCTTACATTTTTTGTTTGTTTCTTTGTTTTAAATTACGGCTAAGAAAGCATGTGTATGCTTTGTTAGCCGGTGAGCAACCAGGGTGAGCAGACAGACGGCTTTAATTCCTCTCCGAGGCTCGGACTCGGTAATGAGGATTATTCACCCAGGCGCGGATACAGGATTTCTTAGGGGGGGGGGGGGGGGGGGCCAAATTTGAAATTATGCGAGCCAAATATTGGTACGTAATGGTGACCAGCAGTGACGTAATGCAGGGGGATGTAGGGAGGGGTGAGTTTCCCCCCTCCCTCCTCTGCAAAGCGCGGAAGCTATATATGACGTTTCATTAAAGTATTAGAGAAAGAAGACAAGTCGTTGTACCGTTCTCGACTCTTAATCCTTCTCTTAATTCACCCCCCCCCCCTCCGCGCAGCGCGGAAGCTTTGACGTTTCATTAAACTATTATTGAAAGAAGACGATTCGTTATAGCGTTCTCGAAAATTATCCTCGTTTGAATGCAATTTTCCCCTCCCGCGTGAAGCGCGGAAACTTTTACGTTTCATTAAATCATTGACGAAAGAAAACGATTCGTTGTACCGTTCTCGACTCTTAATCCTTGTCTTAATTCAGCCCCCTCTCCCCCCCCCCCCCCCCCCCCCGTCTCGCGCGAAGCGCGGAAGCTTTTACGTTTCATTAAATCATTGGAGAAAGAAAGCGATTCGTTGAATCGTTCTCGACTCTTAATCCTTGTCTTAATTCAACCCCCCCTCCGCGAAGCGCGGAAGCTTTGACGTTTCATTAAATTATTAAAGATAGAAGACGATTCGTTGTACCGTTCTCTATACTCTTAATCCTTGTCTTAATTCAGCCCCCCCCCCCCCTCCGCGAAGCGTGGACGCTTTGACGATTCATTAAATTATTAGAGATAGAAGACGAATCGTTGTACCGTTCTCTATACTCTTAATTCTTGTCTGAATTTCAAAGATGTTTTTTGTCTGCTACTTTTTCTCCCTACGTCCTCTTCCTTTCCTCTCCTCTCTATTTTTTTCTACCCCCCCCCCCCCCCCCCCTTGGCTACGCGCCTGCGGTCAGATAAACAAATTTTGATACCTTGTCCGACTCGAGAAGCTCAGGGTTTTTAGGCATTTGATTACGGTCAGATGAACATATTTTTATACCTTATTTGTGACACTGGCAGGACACTAATTGGCGTGAGGTCCAGCGGGCGAAGCCCCCAGAAAACAGGGTTTTAGGCATTACATTTCCGTCAGATTAGCATCCAGGGGAGTCTAGGGCCCTAGGCGGGGTGCAAGGGACGGAACCCCGGAAGCTCAGGGGTTTTTAGGCGTTTAATTTTGGTCAGATGAGCAGCTAGTTAACTATTCTTTCTCTCTTTATTTCTATTTCTCTTTACTATACCTTTTCAAAAAAAAGTGGAGGGGAGGGGGGGGGGGAGCTCGAGGCTTGCGATTCCAGCCGATCCCCGGGCCCTAACTTTTCTAAAGAATCATATTTCTTGCCTGGCTGTAAATTTAGGAACTTGTCATTTTCCAACAAACGCATACAAAAGTATAATTTACTAAAAACTGAGGAAAAATCTCGGAAAGAATTCAGCATTATTTGTAAGCCACCGTTATGGAATTAGAAATGAACCACGTTTGAATTTGAATTCCCCCAAGCCCCCCCCCCCCCTATCAGTACGCCAGTGCCCCCTTTTCTTCTTCTTTCTCTTTTTTATTCTTTCCCTTTCTCTCCTCCTTAAGGTTTGCCGAGGGGGGGGGGGGGTGGGGGGCAAGGGCCTTTCGGTCCCCACCCCGATCCACACGTTGTTGGCGGGATTAACCGGAACTGATCTCACGTTCTTTTCACCCTTTTCTTTTCTTCTTCCTCTTTTTTGTTCCCTTTTAGCTCTCCTCTTTCCCTTTTTCTTCTTTCTCTCTTTGTTATAGCGGGGGCGGGGGAGGTAAGGGCCTTTTGCCCCTCCTCGATCCACCGGGGAAAATTGCAAATGATATCCCCTTTCTTTTCTTTTCTTCTTTTTCCTTCCCTTTATCTCCTCTTACCCTTTCCCTTTCCTTCCTTTTCTCTTTTTTTTTATTAGAGGGGGGGGGGGGTGCAACAGCCTGGGAGGCAAGGCCCTTTCGCCCCCCCCCCCCTATCTCCTTCTTCACCCGTTTCTTTTCTTCTTCCTCTTCTTTCTTCTGGCGCTACACCTCTTACAAAAACAAAATGCAAAAATATCCAAAAAGAGAGGACTGCAATGGGGAACTTTGATTTAAGCTACGCGACCATTATTCTCTCAATTCCTTTCACATTGTATCTCATAACCATGAGAATTGCCAAGCTATTGTATACGTTATTTCGTTACACGAACACACACAAACACACGCACACACACACACACCAGATCATAACCTGCACGAGTCTACAAGGTGTGAGAAAACTCTGATTCAGGAAAGAATGCAAGGGTGAAAGTAAAAGCGAAAAAAGTGGACACTCTCACATGGCTTCCATGGATGCCGTCTTTGTTCTCTTTTTGCCTTCTTCTTACTCCTTGACCGTTCGCGCATATTTTTGTTTACAAAACTGTTTAGCCATATATAGTTCATGTGCAAGCACGTATACCCAGGGAAGAGAAGGTAATAGAAAAGGGAAAACAAAAAAATACATAAGGAGAGTGCAGAGGATATGGAGAAAGAAAGACAAAGAAATACATAAGAAATACATAACGGAAGGGCTTTTAGGCACCAAATTACGCATCTAGGGACCCGCCTTAGGCCCCTTGGTTGGGTCCAAAGGGCAGAGCCCCCGAAAGCTCAAGGACTTTAGGCATTTAATTACGGCCAGATGAGCAAACAGGGCCCGCCTTAGGGCCCTTGGTGGGTTCCAGGGGTAGAGCCCCCGGGAGCTCATGGTAAAATACTGTCATTTTAGCAATACTTGTAAATCACTGATATCAAATTAAAAATAACCCATGTTTAAATTGTATTGGGGGGGGGGGGTTACTGCCCCCCCCCCCCCCCCATCCATCAGTACGCCAGTGAAAGAGGCGGAGGTGACGGAAGGGACTACCCCCATAAAGCTGTATGATAAGTCTTATATGTAAACCCCTCACAGGTTTTTGAAGTTTTGTTGTGTTACAAAATTACATTCTTTAGCAAAACTACAGCATAAAAACAAGCAATATACTTTTTTCACGCTTCACTTTTACTTTGCCGATATCTAGTGTGCAGTCCGAAGGGTTGTAAATATTTACTAGGTAAATTTTAGTTTGACTGAGCAGGAAGGGACTTCTTAAAAGAGCAAGCTGAATATTCATTTTTGGAACACTGATCTATTTCTATAACTTTTAATCTTGTTAACATACAGTGTAATTTGAACATACGTGATACCAACAGAATACATATTTTCTTCAATATTTACTTGTATATTTTTAGGATATTATGCGAAGGAGCGTAGCGACCGAGCGAGAAGATTTTAGCATTTCTATTAGTCTAAACGCTGTACTCTTGGGCCCACCAGAGCCTTAAAGCGTGTTGCAGTCTTTAGTCAGTATTTGCTATACATTTTGTTGGTGTGCACTTTTTCAAATTATCCATGGGGGACGATCCCCCTCAGAAAATTGAAGAAAGACGTGTACCACGTCCTTCCACCTATTTTGTGTTTTGCTCAAAAAACTATCCACAAAAAAGGACTATGTATGCCCCTTTTGTGAAGCGACCTATCAATATTAATGTTCACATATCAGACCCTTTTTGGATTGCCCTCCTCCCGCCCCCCCCCCCCAGAAAAAATATTATCACATTGTTACATGTGTGCACAATATATATTGATGTGTCAACCTTACGAAAGTGGTGTTTTCGTAATGATTATTGACCTCCTTTAAATTTATATTTATATGGAAGACTTAAGAAGACAACTGTTTACAGTCCAACTAAGGGTGTAGAGCATATCGTGTAGACTAAAATGTGCAATGTTGTTCAATTTCTGAATTCTTTGTTTAAAAAACTTGCTTGCTGTCAATAGTGTATACATTTTTTATACGTTTCAAATGTCTAGTCTGGTTAAAAATAGCACGTAATGATTTCATTATTTGACACGTACTTCACATTGATTTATCTTATCGATAAGCGAAACGATTTGCTTTAGTATCATATAACAAATATAACAGTAATGACAAGTATGGTTTTCCTGAAAATTGCATCATACAAT